TTATTATTATTACTATTATTATTATTATTTTTATTATTATTACTATTATTACTATTATTTATTATTATTATTATTATTATTATTACTATTACTATTACTATTATTATTACTATTACTATTATTATTATTATAATTATTATAATTACTATTATTGTTATTAATAATAATAATAATAATAATAATGATAATAATAATAATAATAATATTAATAATAATAATTGTTATTATTATTACTATTACTATTACTATTACTATTACTATTACTATTATTATTATTACTATTATTATTATTCTTTTGGTAACTAATTTTTTATTAATTACCGAGGAAAAAACAATACAAACCAAGCAGCTCACACAGCATGCTTAAACCATATACACAACACTTTAACACCTACTATACCAACTATAACTCAAATCTTCCTATGTATAATAATATTGTTAATGCTAATAGAAGATCTAGCAATAGTTACGTAGGCTATCTTCTTAACTACTTCATCTATCAAGCAACTCTTGTCTTAAAAAATTCTCTTGTTTCTCTCATTCCACAATCCATAAACTCCTTCAGCAAGTATCCTCTTGAATAATTGTGCTATTGTAGTCTTCCCTTTCCCATTTTGAATACACTGGTTTATAAACTGTGTCTAAGTCCATGGTCTGCTATTGGGATTATCAATCCATTTTAAGAGTCTCTCCTAAACTTCTCCAGCATAGTGACATTGGATGAACATATGATCCATACTTTCTTCTGCACTTTTGCATAAAACACAAGATTTATCAAGTGTCATTCCCCATTTAGCAAGTCTATCCACTGTTGCTAGCTTCCTATTCAACAAAATCCATAGAGTAAAGATAGCTTTTGGTCTGATTGCATTTTTAAACATTAAACATCTCCATTCAGGTTTGATCTTCTCCCCTCTCAGATAATCATAAATTTGTTTGATCATCCCTTTTCCCTGCATTGGTTGAATCTGATCAACTGTTTGTTTAGCATTCATAACTTTCCTGATCATCCAACTTGCTTGATCTCTCTTCGTCCATTCAGTCTGTCCTTTTAAGTAATATGCATGTATCCATTTGTTCTATAACTTGTCTTCTTTGTTTTCTAAGTCCCAACAGAGCTTGGCTATTGCTGCTCTATTTCACACTTGCATGTCTATCTGCCCCATACCTCCTTCACTTTTAGGACTGCAAACTCTCTCCCATGCTATTAGAGCTTTCTTAGTAACATGTCCAACTCCTAACCATAAATAATTTCTACACAAAATCTCAATTAACTTGATTATCTTAACTGGAAAGATGATTAATTGTGCCCAATAAGATTGAACACCAAATAACACTGTCTGCACAAGTTGAGTTTTCCCTGCATAAGATAGTATCCTAGCTGTCCATGAGTTGATTCTTGCCATTATTTTATCAATTAGAGGATACCATTGTAGCACTGACATTTTCTTGGTTGACAAAGGCACTCTCAAGTATTTGAAAGGAAGTTCCTCCATGTTGTATCCTAACTTTTGAGCAATCTGTTGTCCCACTTCCATCTGCACACCTGCACAATATATTGAGCTTTTATTGAGATTAGCTTGTAACCCTGAAGCTTGAGAAAAATGAGAGAAACACAGTTGAATAGCTTTAACAGACTCAAGATCACCTCTAGCAAACAGTAAAAGGTCATCTGTAAAACATAAGTGAGTGATATCAATCTTAGAGCACTTAGAATGATACTTGAACTTTTTATCATCCTTAAGACCTTTAAGAATCCTACTAAGATACTCCATAGCTATAGCAAACAAGAAAAGAGACATTGGATCTCCTTGTCTTAATCCTTTAGCTGCTTCAAAGCTTTGAGAGATCTGACTATTAACTACTATGGAGTAATTTACTGTTTTGACACATTTCATTATCCATTGCAGAAACATCTCAGGAAATCCTAGACCAAACATTACTTGCTCCAAGAATGCCCATTCCACGAATCATAAGCCTTCTGTAAGTCAATCTTCAACATGCATCTAGGAGAAATATGCTTCCTAGTATAAGCTTTAACTAGCTCATGAGCAAGCACTATATTATCAGAAATCTTTCTTCCTGGAATAAACCCTGCTTGGCTATCACAAATGATACTCTGAATCACTCCATGTAGTCTTTTAGTTATCACTTTGGAGATGATCTTATATACCACAGTATAACAAGCTATTAGCCTGTATTCTTTCACAGTTTTAGGATTCTGAACTTTTGGAATGAGAGACACTTGAGTACAGTTGAATGCTTTGTATAGCTTGCCTGTTGTGAAAAAACTCTGAACAGCCTCAATGATATCCCTTTTAATAATCTGCCAAGTATGTTTGAAAAAGAAAGCATTATAACCATCTATACCTGGTGCCTTATCATTCCCTATGGATTTCAATCCATCATAAATATCTTGTTCTGTTACAGCAACACACAATTGTACCCTCTGCTGCTTTGTCAAAGTAGGTCCTCTTTTCATCACTTGAGCATTAATGGTTGGTAGCTTGCCTGCTGAAGTTCCCATAAGACTCTTATAGAACATCACAAACTCATCCTGAATTTCACGTGGATCATATAACATCTTACCCTTCAAAAACAGAATATTTCTTAGTTGTTTCTTTTGAGTTCTCTCCTTTATAACTGAGCTGAAAAACTTATTATTTGCATCCCCTAATTGGTTCCATTTTATCCTTGCTTTCTGCCTGAAAACACTTTCTTCTATCATTGACCATTTTTCAAGCTTGATCAGTAACTCTTTTTCCTTCACAACTAGATCATCAGTAGCTTTATCATTTAGTTGATCTTGGACTTTTGCAATCTCCAATCTAGCCATCTCAATCTGCATCCCAATGTATTTAAACTCCTTTCTATTCCACTATTTTAGCACATGCTGAAGATCCATCAGCTTACACCAAACTTGCTTCATTATGCTATTTCCATAGTCTTTTTTCCATATAACCTCCACCATTTCCATAAAGCTCTCATGTTCAGTCCATACATTAAAAAACTTAAAACTGACTTTCCCATGCTGCTGAGTTTTTGTAGCAAAACCATCATAGAGCTATGATGAGATATGCTTGGATTTCCATATTCTACAATAACATGTCCCCATTTATCCATCCATTCATCATTTCCAAATGCTGTATCAATTCTACTTGATATTCTATTCCTCCCACACTGCTTGTTAGTACAGGTTTAGTATTTGCCTTTCCATTGCAATTCAGTAACCTCCATATCTCTCACTCATTCACCAAAATCTTTTATCTCATTATTAGTAACAGGAACTCCATCTAACCTATCCTTAGTAGAAAGAATAGCATAAAATCCCCTACTATGAGCCAAGGTTGAGAAATACCTTTTGACATTGTATTCATTTCTTACCACAAACTTTTTCTCTGTTTAACTGTATTAAAGCCATACACCACAGTCAATATAAACTGATAATCTTTACTTCTTTCATTAACTTGACAATGCAGAAGTTGAGCTGAGCTATTAGTCATCTTGATCTCATACCAATTATCATCCCAGACCAACCAAATTTTTCCATTAGGACTATCAGTATAATTATGTAACATCTTCCACCCTGGTGCTATCCCTTTAATAATTGTTTTCATATTTTTTTCTTTAACTCTTGTTTCAATTGACCCTGCCAAAGTAACTTTATTCTTTTGTAAAAGAAGCTTAATCTCCTTCTGCTTATACCTTTTATTCATACCCCTCACATTCCAGAAAAAAACACTTCATCAACAAGTCTTTGATGTTATATCTCTATCAACAGATAGTGAAGCCATTTTGTTATGCATGAGACTCTCAAAACCATTCCTTGTTGGTATAGCTTTCAACATAGGAAAGTTAGCCAAACTCAATTCCAGTTGTCTATCTACATATGACTGCTCATCGTTACTCCTTGGTGTTTGTTGATCTAGTTTCTTTCCTATCTCCTGTTCTTCCTCCTGCTTATTCTTCTGTGGACTAGGATTGTTCTCCTGTCTTTGTTCATATACTTCTCTTGCTCAGTTTTCTGTGAAATTGGATCTTTATACTGCCAAGTTTGAGTTACTTTTTTCCATGGCCTTCTTCTCTTTGGTATCTCTTCTTTTGGTTCAGACTCCACTTGACATAGATGCCCTATCTTCTGGCACCTATCACAATATTGAGGCCTCCATTCTAGCATTACTTCCTGCATAAATGTCTTCCCATTTGGATCCACTACTGCTATCTTCTGAGGTATAGCTTTTGTAACATTGACTTCAATAAGCATTCTATCATATGAGATTCTTGTTTGCTTGGTGGTACATTCATCAGCAAAAAGAGGCACTCCAATAGCACTTGCAATCATACTCAAAGATCCCACACCCCAACAGTTTAAAGGCAATTTTAGAAAATTCACCCACAAAGGAATTTCTGTTAGAAACTCACTTCCAAAATCAAACTCAAGACACCATTATTTCAGGATGATTGGTCGATTGTTGATAGTATATGGCCCAGAGAACAAACCCATTCATGTCACTAATCTTCTGAAACTTGATTAAATAGTATTCATCCTCATGAAGAAACACTTCTGGTTTACTCACACTTGACCAGTTCATCAATATGTATCTCTTCATAGTATTGGGCCCATGGAATTCTCCAATCACATATGCAATGAGAGCACACTTCCATTTCTGTTCTTCTTCTTGCACCTCCTTCTCTTCCAGCTGCACCATTGTTTACCCATTAACTACCTGTGGAGGGAAATAGGATAGCTGCATTCCATTGCTTCCTACACAATTATTCTTAAACATATTAACCCATGGTTCATTTGCGTCCTTCTTTTGCTCCTTTTCATTACCAGCATTTCTATCTTCTCCATGTAGCTGCTCTTCTGCATTCTTTGTTACTGTTCCATTGCCATCAGTCTTGCTTTCTTCATCAAACCCTTCCAGATCTGAGTTCTCAAACACTTCATCATTAGTTCTTAGTAAATTTAAAATCAATCTCCTTGCTACTTTAGTGCTTCTAGGTCTTTCAGCTTCAAAACTTGTTTCTCCTTTTTGAACTTGTTCTTGCTCCTTTAACCCTAATTCTTCCGCACAAGTTCCTAATTAGCTACCAACGTTCATGATTGGTGTTTTCCGACCTCTTCCTCATCCTCTACCTCTTTCCCTCGCCATTGTAACCTTCCAGCTCACGTTTAGCTAACGTGCACTAAGAGCATTTCGGGAGAAGAAGTATTAATTATTATTTTATTATTACTATTATTATTATTATTATTGTTGTTGTTGTTGTTGTTGTTGTTATTATTATTATTATTACTGTTATGATTATAATTATTATTATTGTTATTGTTATTATTATTGTTGTTGTTGTTGTTGTTGTTGTTGTTCTTATTGTTGTTATTATTATTATTATTATTATTATTATTGTTGTTATTATTATTATTATTATATTATTATTATTATTATTATTATTACTATTATTATTATTACTATTATTATTACTACTACTATTATTATTTAGTATTATTATTATGATTATTCTTATTATTATTATTATCATTATTATTATTATTATTATTATTATAATTATTATTATTATTATTACTATTATTATTATTACTGTTATTATTATTACTATTATTATTATTATTACTACTATTATTATTACTACTACTATTATTATTTAGTATTATTATTATTGTTGTTGTTGTTATTATTATTACCATTATTATTATTATTACTATTATTATTATTACTATTTTTATTATTATTATTATTAATAATATTATTATTGTTATTA